CTGCAGGGAAATCTCATCAGCTCTCTGCAATCAATTTAACAGTGTTTACAAAGCCACAAGCTGAGGCTTGTGCTTGGGGACGAAGCACTGGTCACCTGGTGTTCCACTAGATTCCCCCGCTAAGCTGGCCTCTCCTGGGTAAACCTCCACAAAGCCCCCTCATGTCTGACACCACCAGGTCCTTCAAATACTCCTCTCAGACAGAGGATTAGGTAATCTCACCATGATACTGTCTTTTTCTCTATTTCTATCATTTTCCCTCTCTTTTTGACACACTCTCTCTATCCCCCTCTTCTCATACATTACATCTTCCTTACCTTTCTGCCTCTCTCCTTCTGGCCTGTTGAAGAGCTTGTTCTACTCATGGCACATCTATCCTCGGGAGTCCTTACCTTCTTAAGTGCCTCCAGAAAAGGTTAGTTGGCAGGTAATTGTCCAGTTGTGGCTAGGCTTATCTTAATTGTAGGTGCTTAAGTGCAAGCTACACTTCCATTGATGGAGAGTTTTGCGTCAAGTAATGGGAGGAGACAAGAGGATGATATGAGGAAAAGATTTAGCATTTTAAAGTGCCTGTGACATTTTTCCTATGGATACTTGTACATTGTGCTTCGGAAATGTGACATAAAATATTTATTCAAATCTATTATTTGATATGAATAATTTTTACATATTTTTTTTCCTAAAAATCTTTCCCTAAGCATCAGTGGATAATTTTATTAGAGCTAACCCTTAATGAAATGCAATGCTCACAGTGCAAAATTCCAAAAGACCAGGTCTTCAGCTGTTTTAAATCTATACTATTAACCATGTGATCATACATATATCCATGTCAATAGGAAGCTTTAGGGGGGTTAGTGTTTGCGTTGCCCCAGCCAAAGGTCATGACTGACCAATAAAATATTTCTAAAGCACCATCAATAACTCAGACATGTAGACTAATACAGTATTAGACTGTGGGAAGGCAGAGGAGACCTGCTGTGCTTGCTTCAAGCAGAATGAATGGACCAAAGGCCAAAAGGTTACTGGACAGACTTATGCCTGGTGCCCCTGCACCCCCTCATATGCGCATTTGATAGCGACAGGGGCAATTATAAAGGTATACTTCAGTAGGTCAAATGGGAGAGGGCAAAGTGCAGAACCTTAAAAGCACTGGCTGGAGTCAAAGGTTATGATGCACATAGGGCATCATAGAGTGTGCCGAGTAGGGATAATGGAATCAAAGCAATAAAGACACAGTGATATATTCTCTTCATTTATGTGTATTTTCATAGATAGACACCCAGACAACTAAGAATCACTTGTGATCAGACTCTCAAACTAAGGCATTAAATGTTTGGATTTCTCTTTGCAGTGTGTGCATTCATATACTGTATGCATTCTGCGGAACCATCAGACTGAAAGGCTATTAAATATGAATAGTCCAAGGTCATGGAAGGTCGTGGCACACATTTAGCATGAGTGACCAATGCCAAATTTAAAGGTCAAAGTGGAATTGCTTGAGTCGGAGCAACACGACGTTTGCTCTTCCACATTTATGAATCCCATTGGTGGTGATTTATGGAGGGGGATAAATGTATGGACGGGAAGAAAACACTCTCTTTCTCCTACCCTGTCAGACTCAGTAAATACACTACTCAGTCATATCACTCACCATTTCACAGTGAATCGCCACTGTATGCTTCCTGCTTGGATTAAAAACTGTCTTTGTCTTGTCTTGCCTCCTCCCTCCAGCTCTGGGGAACACACTGGAGGTATTGTTGCTATTCCACAAGACTATATATTAGCATTTCAGACAGCTGTGGTACAAAAGTAGTGTTCAAAGTCAGTGGTGTGCTTTAGTTTTGTACCAATTCCGTTGGTAGATTTGATGCTGTAACAACCATGCACAATAGAAGTCCTTGAATGAAGCCAAAAACACTCTAATCTGCTATTTTATAAAAATCTTTATTTTTATTTCAGCCACTATATATTTCTAAACCCCTTTTAGAAATAACTGCCATCCCTTTTTCGTTTTTATAGCCTGTTTTTCATAAGTTTTGTTTACTGTCATTAAGATTCCAGGTCATTTAAAATTGCTCATGTTGTAGCAGGTCACATGCTTATCCAGCAAATCATTGGTAATTAGGAGCAGTTTTCACTCCTCTGTCCTCTTCTACAGCGAGGCTGTACACCGCATTTTGCAGCAGCAGCAGCCTTGCTTTGACTGGGCCAGCAATTAACTCAATATCCCAGCTTTTAGAGTTTGGTAGGCCTTTTGAACGTGAACATGTTCCCCATGTATCTTTGGCTCTTTAAATGTGAAAACCAGCCCGGCAATGGTGCACCACAGCCTTTTGCGAACTGCCCCCAAGTGATTCAGAATCCGGCCAGAGAAAAATTTGAAAAGAAAACATGCTTTTGAACTGCCGGCCAAAACGGAAACATGGTCTAGTAAGCTGCTTTTTAACCTGGACCATAAAGATCTATTTTCCTTTCCTCCAATGGTAATAAATTTGCTTTTTTCCATTATTACACATATTATATTTTTCCATGGGAAGATCAAAGGGTGATAATGCGCGACACCAGTGCATATTACTTGACACTTTACATTTAGTTCTCCATTAGTGTACAGTTCAGGGTGTTTGCAGGTTCAGGGTGCCAAAGATTCTTTTAATAACAGTAAACCTTATAGCAAACCAATCTGATGATTTTTCTTGGAAAAAAAATCACCTGCATTTCTTCCTTGTTTCGACTTACAGGTCAGCTGTGAGGATCGCATTCTTACCATTTTAATACCAGCATTGGCGTTCCCCCACACGCCAGCGTTTACACCATCCGTCCTTCCCTGTGAGAACATTTCCAAAGGCCGTTTATATACAGGACAAGTCCTGTGCGATCTGTCACATTCATCTCTATTTCACATTCACCATGGGGCATTTGAACCACATCAGAATCTATTAACGTCATGCAGATCCAGCCCCTGCTGACAACACAAATCATGATAAGATGGAGCAGTGACTCTATAAACACCCTCGCTTATATATCACATCATATGAGCTGGACTGGAAGGTAGATCTCACTTGTCGTCTCTGTGTGATCGTCTATTCATGCGGTTGAACTACAGATATGAATATCATTACATCACTATCTTAAACTTATGTCACCCAACCTCAATCAAACAATGGATATAAACAGCCCTGCGTGTGTTTATCTGTGAGAGCATCCGTCACTCTGCAGTCGGATTTCCAGCTCAACTGCTTGTGAGGACAGATTTATGCTGTAATGCATCAAATCAACAGACCTTTACAGTAAAATATGACTTTATCAATAGGCCTGATCAATAGTGCATGCGAGACGCTGTGTAATTATTACAGAGGTCTGTATCAATAAAACTGTCGTGCATGAACTCCTGCTAAAGGCTACTGAGCTGGGAGTCACAGACTGTCAAAGAAAGGTTTGAGTCTTGGCCCTGACATGTTTTGATTACTGTACGTAAGGTCATGTTGTTAATGTAATATAAACTGTGAGTACACAGTTGGCTGAGATCAAATTCAGGGTTGGGAAAGTTTTACTATAATATTAAACTACTGCATAGCAACTTGTCTAGAAGTAAATTTAAATAGTGTTTTATTTAACAATTAATAGTGCCAGGCCTATTTAAAAACAGTCATTGTGAGCGAGTGTCTTTGCATCTCTGCCGACAGTAGAGATTATAAATGATAGAGACGAGCATGACTGTCTTTACTGGAGTGAGGATCATTTGTCCTGAAGCAAGGCAATCTAAAAGTTGAAGAAAGACTGTCAAAAAGAGCTTTGTATTACACTGTGGTGGAAGCACTCTGCATTAACACACACTCACATACAGTCACATACACACATACAGTACGCCACAGAGACAGCGCGTGAGGCAGGGACCAATGAGGCAGTTTATATCGGGATTTTGTTTCACAGCCATGGCCTCCTGGGAGAGAGGGGTCTGCCAATAACACTTAAGAGACAGAGCAGGAAAAGTAAGTGCTTTTATTACAGCTCATCACTCATGTAATTTCTGGCAGCATTTGTGATTACAGATCAAGTGATTGACTAACTACACATTCGGCGGCTGAGTTATGAACCGGGTGCCTACCATTCCAGCCCCAGCAGATTCTCAGTGTCAGCTGTAACTCATCTTCTCCCAGGGTGCTAAATCAAAGAGCACACCGCAGCTGGAAGAGTTAAATAATAACTTGAGCTTTATTGTAAATCTGCCAAAAATTAAACCTGCACCAACGTCATCCTGGCCCTGATGTTGTACTGCGTGGGGTGAAGAGGCTGGATGGAGGGGATCAATAGAGGCCCTGATGGAGGTATTGATGGATGACAGGTGAAGTGGGTGTGTACGTGTGCGCGCGTGCGCATGCGTGTGTATAAGGGGTGGGATTGAATCACCCCGGGGTTAGGTAGAGAGCACCGGTCAGGGTGTTTAATCGACAGGTCTCACCTTGAATCGATTGGCAGGAGTCTCGCAGGGCAAAGACGTGATACACACACAATCAGCACTAACTCACACCAAAACAAACCGTAGGGAGTGGAAGAGAGACGTGGGTGGATGTCTCAATGCCATCAGTGCTGCCTTCCTGCAAGTAGTTGCTGGGCTTGTTACTTGGAAACAAATTTAAGACTCAATTTAAAGGCACTTTTTAAATTTTACTTGTCAGTCTCGAACATTACCATTCCTTTACATACCTTTGCTTGGGCGCACCAAATTTGCAGTGGTATAGTAAATGTATTAAGCACTTTTTCAAAGAAATAATGAACTTTGCATGTATTTGTCTAATTTTCCAGTAAAAGCCAAATACTATACAATGTCTTACAACATTTCTCAAAATATTTTTATTGAGTGATTGTGGATACAGTTTAAGGAGAAAAAAAATAGAATTGAATACAAAATTGAATACAAAACAAAACTTCTCATGTTAGAACATAGGTAAAGAAAAAACAAACAAACAAAAAAATTTACAAAAAAAACCCGCAACCCAGGAGCGGCAATTAAAACTAACAAACCCTTTCCTTACAAACAATTTCTTGTTACAACAAAAATCACAACTTCCAATAACTGAATATAACTAAAAAAAAAAAAAGCCAACTTGTTACATGACAGACAGGTGTTTTTAAAGGTGGATGATAAAAGGTTTTGCACTAAGCATTTAGTTAAAGAGCCAGTTTGCATACCACAATAATAAAGGACACACTGACAGACATGAAACAAGACAACAAAGACAAAGAGCAAGCTCACATTATCTGTGCAACAAATCAATTTCCTCAAACTGAAAAGAGCCACAGTGGCAAACACATGTGACTCATACCGAAGAGACGGACAGCCATGAAAATGCCTCACCGTGAAAATGTCTTACAAGAGGCCAAGATCCGAGAAGGCGTTATGTCTTTAATAAACAACATACTGTAAGCATTAAAATGAATGTGGCGCAGTGTGTAGGGTAAGAAACAACAACCCTCAACCTTCTCAAGTTCTGTTGAAATGATGTGATTCAAGGTCTCAGCATTTTCTACACACGGCTTTGACTGTAGGGCATTAGACAAAAGTCTAATGCCTTCAAATAAGGTCAAGTTTCAGGAGTGTTGTTGACTGAGATGGCTTATCGGAGGAACGTACTTGCCAAATCAGAATGTGTGATCACAGGGGTAAATTGGACCCTATTAATGCTCATCTGGACTCTGTTTTGGAGAGCTCCTCCAGAGCAGAAGGTTGTTTTTGCAAGCAAAAATATTTAGCTTTACATCCATTATCAAGTAGATAACAGAGAGCACAATTCCATAGCCAGTGATTTTTTTTGCGGCTTTTGGTTAAGAAATATACATGTTTAGGATAACAAAAAAAAGTTGCATACACATTCACTTGGTTCACTGGTGGGCAGAAGTAGACCTGTGAATTCTTGGAGTAATGCCAAAGGAAAAAGCTTGTCTTCTGTTTGCAGAGCACTTTTTAAATGGCTTAGATGAAGGAGGAGTTTGAGAAAGAGAGGTTTCAACCTGCGATCTCAAATGGGAGGAAGGGAATGTGTGAACTTGCTGTCCAGAGCTAGAGATTGAAGAAGATCTGTAAATGGAAGACTTAAGGCCACTGTGTGGTCCCGTTCTTGGATGGTGACAAGAGGTTACAAATTGAGTTCCAGGACATTTCACAGGAGGTCTGGGTGCAGGCCTGAGCTCGGGGCTCTGCAAAATGCTGCTGTCGCCTTGAAAAGATAAAGATTTATGAAAATATAAGTACAATATATTGTGACAAACTGGAAAAACTGGAGTTGTAGTTTTGTTTGTGATGACTATATAAATAACTCACCTTTTGAGCCCCAGATGAAATTCTGCTTTGAGCTTGTTGTCCCTTTGATAGCTGGGGGAGAGTGCCAGCAGTGGGCCTGCATTGCTTGCCGTCTGACCTAGGTAAAAGATGCAGTGTAGTGAAGACTACGTGAAGACTGCCTTGACTATTTCTGCATGTTCTGCTCCTTGGCTCAAACCACACTGCTGTCTGACAACCCTCTGTATCATCCCCCTGCTTGGATTTGATTGATGAGTGGCCACTTCCTGTCCCATCCGTTTCTGTTGCAGACATTGCCTCATCTGTGTATGGTTTTTGTTCATGTCTTTCTTTTTCCTCTGCACTTTCACTTTCTTCATCTGTCTCTTGCTCCTCAAAGCCTTCTGGACTTTCCGAACCTTGAACCAGTTTGTGTTTGACATGTCTGGAGCCCTGTCAGGTGGATACACACAATCTTTTAAGTTGTTTTTACTATGATATGGGTAGTAATATTGTACAGTCAGTTTGATTGTAGAGTAAACTTATAGGAAACAGAGAATTTCAGCAATAGACATCAATATTTATCTTTGTCATATAACATGTATTGCAGTCAACAATGTGCTCATTTATGAACACTTGTCTGAGTCACTTAAAAAAAATATAGACTAACACCTTGTGTTCTGTCAATTCATCCAAATCTTCCAGACTTGCTGAAACTTAGTGTTGTGCACATTTCTGGGAAGCCAGTGTAATGTTCTTCATGTTTGGCAGTAATGTATGCATTACTATGGCATTACTAATGTGGTTACTTTATTGTTTTTCTGCTATAATGGACTACATTTTAAAATTCAGCAATCACATTACAGTCACTAATCCCTTTATTATTTTGACAATTTAAGTTTCAGCTTTCTCTTTCTGTACTGAGAGACCCTGGAGCACATCTGTGCCAGTGCTGCAGTACCTCTGCCCAGTAAAAGATCATCACTGCCAGGAACACTTCCCGCCCTGACATAAAACTGGGAGGGGAAAGCTGATTCAGGAAAGCAAATTAAGTTTCTAGAAATGCCTGTTAAAACAACACTGAGGCCAAACATGGTGCATTGGACAAACTGTATCTAATCCCTTTATAACAAAGAGATATTTGGCAATGTTAAATATTTAGCTGATGTGTGTATGTGTATGTGTATGCTGCATGCCTTAGATGTGTATATATGGAGGTGAGAGAATGTCCCTGGAAAGGTTGCCTTCATCAGTGCGCAGTGTAATTCTAATTGGCTTTATTAGAGGGCTTAAATCTAATACCATCTCTGTGCCCTGCCTAAGGCTTTGAGTGTGTGTTTGTGAGTGTGCACCTCTTTTTTGATGTTTATGCCTCAACAAATTTCTTACAGAACATTTACAGAGTTACATACATGAGTAGATGGACTAAAACAGCTCTATCAGACGGTGGAAAAATACAGTTACATTCCCTCCTCTAAATGAGCCTGATGCAGCGTATTTCTCCAGTCTGAGAGTAGAGCCCCAGTCAATAGGTAAATACAGCATTTAGACGTTCAAGTTCATTGAAATAGCTGCACTGTAGCTCCAGATGTAATGATACAGACTTAAGGCAAGAGAAAGCAGCATGGAACTGCTCATTTGACCCCATTTAAAAACTTGATACCAATTAGAGAGTTCTGGGTGTAAATAATTTAGGAGATCTCTCTCACTGAACACACAAATAATGTTATGTGCATGCACACATATATGCACATGGATGTGCATGGGCTCTGAAACACACTAAACTACGAATATATGCACACTCCTGTGCGCGCACACACATGTACGTGCGTAAAGATTCCGCTGTGCTCTGGAAACAGACTTCTTAATGAAGCCTTCCCGAAGTGAAAGTAGAGCAGAAATACATACTGGCCCATTTCTGCCTTCAGTACACCCTCCTCGCCTCTCTCCTCTCTCCCTCGCTCTCCCTTTCCCTCACCTTCTCCACATCATTTGTTTTATGCATGTTTCATTGTCTTTTTCTCTTTTGTCTCAATGAGTTAAATCACAACCCCTAATTTATGGCTACAGGCAAAGACACTTCTACAAACAAACTGGCTGATGAGAGGGGATGACTGAAAACATACGCGCTGAGCGGTGTGTGTAAATCTTAAAATGTCTGTTACTGTCTTTTTATCTGTGGTTATTTACATAAGAAATGACAGCATGTGTAAAAGAATGACTGCGATGCAAAATGAAAAAGGCTGCGCGCTCGAGGAGAGGGGAAGTGAGCAAGGGGGGTGAGAGAGAGTAAATCCAGTGACACTGAGTGGGGAGCACTCAGGTGTGGTGAGAGGATTATACAAAACCCTGAGTATGAATGACAGTAAACACCTGAATGACAGAGAGACGGGGAGGGGTGGAAGTGTGTGTGTGTGTGTGTATGTGTGTGTGTGTGTGTGTGTGTGTGTGGCTTTGCGTGACAGTTTAGTGGCCTTCACTTATATTCTGAGAGGTAAGTGAATATATATTCACTCTGATGTTTTCACAACTGTGCTGCCTACTTAAGTAAAACTTGCTCCATTGTATCCATAGTATATACATTATGTCTCTCCCCCTCTCTCTCTCTCTCCAT